CGTTTCCTCCCTTGCATACTTCAAAGCTGGTGTCAAGACCCTTCTCTTCGACCGTGCCTTTGGTCTCCCTCCCACCTTTCTGTCTTCCCTCACCCTTACACCACCCCTCCCTATGCTCGGACCCCGACATCTGACTGTTCAGCGCTTGGGGACGTCCTCCCGACATGAAAGGGGTGCGGGGTTAGGATGCGGGAAGGTGGAGGGCAGGGAAGGAAGGAGGGTGGCCAAAGGTGCGGTTGAAGGGGAGAGTCTTGAGACGCGCCTTGAAGGAGGCAAGGGAGGAAGCTAAGCGAAGGGAAAGTGAGATGGAGTTCCAAACTGTAGGGGCAGAAAGGCTGAAGTCCCGACCACCGATTGGGCGGGCTGGGTGCGGGACTTGGAGCAGGCCAGAGCCTGCTGAGCGGAGGGAGCGGACAGGTTGATATGGGATAATAATAATAATTCTAGCATTTGTTATAGTGCCTTATCACATCTTTGAGACACCTCAAAGCGCTTCCCAGGATATACTTTAAAGTGTAGTGACTGTATTAGCAGGATGTTGTGAACAACATTGTGTGCTTACTATGGCGATCGTCAGATCTTAGGCCCACAAAATATACTGTCAATTCACTTTACAGTATATTCTTTGAAGCGCTTTGAGACGTCTTGAAGATGTGATAAGCGCTATCTCAAATGCAAGGATCATTACTATCTTCATGCATATGAGGAGCATGTATCGAATGGAATAAGTGCAAGGTATCGATATCTCCTACAATCTTGATTGGAAGTACAGCAGCTGGGCTGCGCAAGATCATATACAGCCATTCTTGAATTGTGAGTTATATCAGGTTATTTCATTGTGGTGAGCATCACAACTGAGCTCAATCCTATTCAACATGCACGCACTTGTGCTAGGATTAATCGGTAGTGTACAAGAGGAGGTGGGTGGCTCATTTCTTCGCCACCCTTCCCCCCAATTCATTGCTGCTTAGGCCAAAAACACAACAACTCATACTCTAGCTGAGAGCAGTTAACTCAGCATTTACTAGGAATAGAACCTAAGACCTTCCGGATCTGTACCAACTCTGACATTGAATTTGCCACTGTACAACTAGGAAATTGCCTGTCAATTAGCTGTTATAGGCCTAAAATCATTGAGATGAATTGATTTTAAATGTGGGATAGGAAGTGTTTTCTGTAAACTGGGCTTGAAAAGGGCATTGCAAACCCTTCAGAAAGTGAGTTCCTTTGATATTGAGCATCATCATAACAACAAATTACACTTATATAGTGCCCTTCGCATTGGAAAGATGTCCCAGGGCGCTGGACAATCAGGTTTTGGACCCAAGCTGGGAGTTGGGGTCAGACGGGGAGGAGGGCAGGGGTCTTGCGGGTAGCAAGATAGAGTTGGGTGTCATCCGCATGTGGAAGTTGCCTGCAGATGACATTGCTGAGTGGGAGCATGTATAGATTGAAGAGGAGGGGACTGAAGACAGAGTGCTGAGGGACCCACACTTGACAGTGCAGGGGCTAGAGGAGAAGCTGTTGGGGCCACAAAGTGCAGACGTTGGGAAAGGTAGGATTGGAACCACGCAAGAACAGAACCATTGAGGTGGATGTGAGAGGAGAGGTGGTGGAGAAGAATAGAGTGGTTAAGCGTATCAAAAGTGGCCAAGGACGAGGAGACAGAGAGAGCTCTGGTGCAGGTGGACAGAATGTCATTTGTCACTTTGACTAGGGCTGTCTCTGTGCTTGTGTTACAAAACCAGGATTCCGTGGATTTGACATCACGTTCCTCACACATTATTCACATTGTGTATGGATCATGGGATGCCATAAATCAGTAGCTGATGCTGGATGTAGCAAACTTGAAGACTACAAACACAGTCACTACACTTTGCAGTAAAGCCTGTGCAGTGTTTTGAGATGTTTAGACAGTTTGATGAGGCAACCTATCGACTGCAAAGATTATTTTTCTTTTAACGGCATATTTGAAAACTTTGTTTCAACGAGTGGCTCCAGTGGGGGAGTGGTGAGGGGGTATGTGAAAGGGCAAAGTTAATCAAACCCAATTGTTCCCAAGTATTACAGGTGAAAGGGACCTGTAAATGCATTTTTGGGTTAAAACTAGCTTTCACAATACCCAATGCAATAACAACGTATTTTATCTCCAAGCCTTTCCCTTTCTGAGAAGGTAACTGCATTAACTGGAAGTGTCTCATGCACCTGAGTGCTTATGGTCACCTCTCCCCGGCTTGGCGTAGTGCTCCTCCACTGTCAAGCATTCTGGGGCGCTTTCCTGGCTGAGATACTCTATCTAAATGCAAGTTGTTTTTGTTTCATCCTTAGTGGGTGTTGCCCTCTGTTTGATCATTTTTGAATAAAAATGGAAAATTCCAAACTGGCAAAGTAAATGAGTTATCTCTAACCAATTCTCAAAATCAGTAAAGAAATTGTTTCCTTTCATATTTCCAATATCTATGTTTATGGTGAGAGAGGTTGCAAGAATGTACATAAAGTGAGTTTATCTGTTCACGTCTAGTAAATGTGGCTTGATGTTGCAACCGTATCAGATTTCTGGTCTTAAAATTGGTCATTTTCTTTTTTAAAGAAATGTTTGGGGAAATGATTTTGAAGTGATCTTTATGAGGTGAATTGTAAAATATAAAAATAATATAATACTTGAGGGGAGGGAAGGATGATGAACCTATTTTCAGCTCTACTGATGGAATGAGACCAAATAACAATTTTAGCCTGTATGGATGTGAAAAATGAGTCCTTCACATTTTGTAAAATGCTTCAGCAGTGTGCTGATCTCTTCATTGCTAAGGAATTTCATATTAATATTAAAGGCACTTAATGTCAAAGCTCGTCTGCCGGCATGCCTTCATTGCTGAGCAGGACTGGGAACTAGCAATTTTCTGAAGTGACCTGCCCGCTCCCTCCATTCAATGGGCTCCGGCCTGCTCCATGTCTCCCACCTGACTTGCCTTACCATCAGTGGCCGGGCTTTCAGCCTCTCTGCCCCCACACTCTGGAACTCCATCCCACAGTCCCTTCGCCTCGCTTCCTCCCTTGCCTCCTTGGAGGCCGGTCTCAAGACCCTCCTCTTCGATCATGCCTTTGGTCGTCCTCCCACCTCTTTGCCTTCCCTCACCCATACCCTACCCCTCCCCTATGTTCGGGTCCTGACCCCTGACTTTCCAGTCTCTTGGGACGTCCTCCCGACATGAAAATGTAATTTTGTTGTTGTTGTGACATTGGACATGCATGTTAGGCAAGGTGGCTGATGCATAGTTAAGCTAATGGAGGGCCATCTGCTCTAAATTGGCATGAAGGGCACTTCGCTGTTCCAGTTTAGCCAAGGCTATAGACTTCTAACTTGAGTAGCCTTGCTGACAGGGAATGTTTTTTTTGGTGCTTTCTGGGTTGACGTCTTGACAGTATTGGGGCAACTACAGCATTTCACAGCTTGACAGCCTCGAATGCTTTTCTGTCACAGAAGCTAAGGAGCATGGAGAGTACTTGCACTTCTACACTGTCATGTCAATTCAACCTTAAACCAGAGTCAGAAACGTGACCACCTACTGCACTAGATATCACTTGCATTATCCACATGCGTTTGTTCCAAGTAATTTTATTGTCAAAAAGGTAGCTTTAGCAGCATTGATTCTACCCCCTCCCCCCACACCCACCCGTCTCTTCAAACCAGATTTCCTTTTGCTTTGTGCCTGTAACCTTCAGAAATTAGTTGCTGTGGGAATTTGACCAAAGTTAGGATGACAAAAAAGATCTTTAAGAACTAAAGGAATCTTATCAATTGTGTGTCTTTGAGCTCTTTCCCTCTGTAGAAACGATAAACAACTTTCAGCATTCAATCTTCAACTTGAATGTTTTCAAAGACATTGTCTTCAACAATGTTCTACCATGCCTTTATAACCAAGAAAATATACAGTCAATTCACTTTACAGTATATTCTATGAAGTGCTCAAAAGACATGATAAGATGCAATATCAAATGCAAGGATTATTATAAGAAAACAAAACCTTTGAGAGATTTAATTTGGTGGAAGTGCCTGTCACAACCTATCCCCAAGAGTGATCAGCTTCCCCTGAGATGGCACCGATCTGTTAGTGGATGTGGCCATGTTTGAAAATGGGACTGTTTGCAATTATAAGGTCAATATAGCAGGTAGATTGCCCCATCATTTATTATTGTGTACAGGTGAGTTGTGGTAACACAGGAAGTGGGTAAGGCAATATGTTAGCACACCACCATCCATTTAATGGTTTGGAGGGGCATTCTCAGTTCCCGTACTCCACTGAGATCTCACGCAGCCAGGGATTTTCCTTAAGCTGGGTGGGGGAAGAGTGAGTGTGTATGTGTGTGCGTGGGGGGTGGGTAGAGAATGGTCACTCTGTTGTATTGTGCACTCTCTTGTAGCTGTTTGAAGAATGGCATTAGAAACCTCCTGGCAATGGGGGAGCAGAGTGATTTATGTTTTTTTTAAATCTTACTGATCCAATACACTGGTTAATTCTAAAAAATAACCCCTCAATGAAGATGATCTGACACTGGCCATCAATCAATATGATCTGCCCGCTTTTTGTTGTACCTTCTAGACCACCCTCTCTCCCATCACCTCCCCACCCTCAATCCTTCTGTTTGCTTTCCAGGGATAAACCAAATGAAGACCACCAAATACACACACACACACACATATATATATATATTGCTCCTGTGATGGCTACATCAACAGCATCTACACCATCTCAATCAGCAGCACAACAGAGAGCGGCAAGAAACCCTGATACCTGAGGAGTGCTCATTCACCCTCGCAACATATATATATATGTGTGCGTTTGTGCTTTTGGAATTCACAGGACAAGGGAAATGAGATCTGGATTTTATATAGTTTGCATAAGTGACTTTGTGTATTTGTTTTATTGACTATTCAAAACCTATGGAAAAATGAAAAAGAGGACTTGGTTGTTACAGTATTTTGGTTTATTTTCTCATAGGGCCGAAGGGGTTTGGGTTCTATCTACGTTTGGGCGTCTGGTAATGGTGGCCGTAGCCGAGACCATTGCTCCTGTGATGGCTACACCAACAGCATCTACACCATCTCAATCAGCAGCACAGCAGAGAGCGGCAAGAAACCCTGGTACCTGGAGGAGTGCGCATCCACCCTCGCAACTACCTACAGCAGTGGAGAGTCTTACGATCGGAAAATAGTGAGTACTTTCTCTCTCCCCTTTCCTCTTCTTTTCACCCCTCCCCATCCGAATAAGGTTATGGCTGAGAGAATCTGAGTTTCTGCTTTCAACTTGTAACTTTTTGTAGGTCACCTTTAGGGATGGACAGAATGGCCTTCAGTATCGAAACCTCATGAGTAGCTCAATCAGTTGAGCACCCGTTATGGAATCATTAGGTTAATGGTTTGAATTCCTGTAGGTCCACTTAGTCCTTTACCTAATCAAGGTTGATATGTGAAAAAAACTAAATTTATCTTCTGGGTGAAGGTTGTGTGGGGTTTATCTGCCACTGAACTAGCTCCAAAAGACATATGTCAGAGCTATTGACATCTCCAAGTCTCGCGTAAGGTAGAGTAGGATATTCGTTGAGTATCTTAACCTTGGCCTGAGGTGTCGACTCAACTATTAGACCACTTGAGAAGTGAGCACATTTGTCACCCATACACTCTGTCGTTGTCTTGAAAGCCCACCCATCTTCAAGGACCACAATTTTATCCTTCTGATGAGGCTGAGTTTACACATGTGCTTTGTTTTTAAAACCAAATGAGTGGCCTTAGAACAATTTTGCTTCATAATCTTAACATAGCAACATGGTGGAACCTAAGTAAGAACCATTTGTGATGAGCCCAGCAGGTTTTTACTAATGAATGTGATCTGTGTAATCCTCTCTGCACTGACAAATATCCGACTTGGTTGGTAGCACACATCTCAGTGAGAACAGACTCTGTCCTAGAGATGGTAATTTACTGAGGTTCACTTGGAACATCATACTTCCTAAGCACAGTATGAAGCCTTAGCCATATGCTTGCTATTGTGATGTGTTGCAAAATATCTTGTATAAAGTACCTGAATCATAAGATTCTCATAGGGCAGCTTCTCTTCACCATCACACTGGGGATCACATTAATGTGTGTGAACAGATGTGTCCAGAGGCTGCATTATGCTAACACAACAGACTTGAAATATACAATCAAAAGAGCTTTGTGAGGAACATATTAGGTAATTCAAATTGCATTTGGTCTAATATGTAAATCGAATTCTATTTGTGGAGTCCTGTAGCTCAGTGGTTAGAGCACTCGCTTTGCAAGCGAGAGACCTGAGTTCAATTCCAGGCAGGGCGAAACCTTGGGCAAGTTTCCTTACTCCACACGCCTAATAATAATCCCTCCAAAAAAAAAAAAATAATAAAAATTATTGTAGATTTTCAATCTACGACTGTTTGTGGGACATTGCTGTGCGCAATTGGCTGCCGCGTTCGCCCACAAATATACAGTCAATTCACTTTACAGTGTGTTCTGTGAAGCGCTTTGGGACGTCCTCCCGACGTGAAAGGCGCTATATCAAATGCAAGGATTATTATTATTATTATTATTATTGTAAAGCTTTTTCTCACACGTTTATGAATAACTTTACATTTACATTACAGATCCACAACACTAACAATAATGGCCATGCTGTAAGGTAGTAGATTGTAAGGTGACGAGAACCAGCTCAACCTCCATAGGCAGCAGTAACCATAGCAGCAACACAAAGCTATGCTAGAGACTGAGAGAACCATCTCCTACCTCTGGACAATTTGTAACATGGCTCATGTCTAGCTTCAGAGAAAGTAATGCACATTGTACTTGCATACCACAGCCAACACTTTTAACAGGTGTGACCTTACACATTAAGGAACAGGGGGCTTACACCATACAAAGTGTTGGAATAGCAATCGAAATTGCAGAGTGCTATGGCGCTTGAGTAAATGTGGAATCTTCCATAAGCTTGTAAGAAGTCTGAATAAAATTGGGGTGTTGGTTGGTGATTTGGGGGCAAATATAAATGGGTCCTACTGTAATCAAAGGTTTTGCTGGTTGGTATTTGTGAACATTTTTAGAAATGTCAACCCAGTCGTTGTCTAATTTTTGTATTTAGAAACCTAGATAAATCTCTTACAAATGTTGCCTTGTTTCTTTCTCTCTGCCCTAAATCGGTAATAGCAGCTTGAAACTTTAATTTAAAAAAATGTGTCCTAGAATAATTAATTGAGACTGCCAGAGAGGAGCAGACAGTAACCATACTCGCATAAAACTTTTTTCTACAACTTTTTCAAACTGCAAAAGTTTTATCCCATTGAGGACTAAAACACTCTACACCTCAACCGTAATAAATCATGGGTTATTATGGTGGTTAAGCTAAGACCAGGTTAATCAGTTGGCTTTCGATACTTTTGATCCTGTTGTAGTTTCCTACCATGACCATTCATTGATTAGGGCTCAGGGAATATGGGAAAGTAAAAGACAAAAGGGTATACATTTTTGGTTTGCCAAGTGATACCCAGATATTGTTTTTCTTTATTAGATTTGTTTTGGTCAGCCGAGTGTCTGCCACATGTGGAAATCCATCACACACTTATGAGTATCCAAACCAGACTGAGTTCCATGTCTGCTATCTATACCTGGAAATTCCTTTGTTTGAAATGGAATGCACACCCTCTCCCTAAATGTACGGACCCAGTGTGCGTTACCACTGCTGGAGTTTACTGCTGGCAAACTAAAACCCCATAGCTTGAGTACACTGTCTGGCAAGTTTCCTTAGCTGCTTATTCAGCTAAGACCACCCAACTTTTTTTTTAGGGCTTTCGCTTGCAAGGCTAACAGGAGCGGAGTGGGAGAAATTTCTGCTTTTCGTGAACATCTGCACCTCCAATGTCAATGTCCTGTCAATGAGCAAGGCTGGCTGGTCTGCCATCAGCCGTGCGTTGAAGTATTGCGGACCTGCCTGATTTTAGTTTCTGGCTATATATTAGACGGCTCTAATCTTATCAGAAAATTGGTCAATTTTTAGGCCACCTTAACCAAGAGTTGCCTTTTAAAGGTTTAGGAGCATTTATTGTCATGCCAACACCGAACCTATTACTATACTTGTGTTGGCACACTTGACATTCTGTGTTTGTAGGTTTAAAATGGAAATGTAATGGACAGTGACTTAAGTTAATTATTTTGGCCAATTTGTTTCAGATCACAACTGACCTCAGGCAGCGTTGTACAGACAGCCACACAGGAACCTCAGCCTCAGCACCAATGGCTGCTGGGATCATAGCACTGGCACTGGAAGCAAAGTAAGCTTTAATCCTTCATTTCAAAGAGATGTTGATCAAATGCTACTTCTGTAAAATTAATGAAAATGGACTTAATGAATTAACTTAATGATAGAAATGTTATCCTTATCTTGAAACCATCAATTATTTTTTATAATGCAGCTTCTGTCTTATTTGGATGGATTTTTCCAGATTCCTATATCCCTTTTATTAGTACATTAGAACCCGAGTGTAACTCACTTCATGATCATGTGGGTTCGCTTTTAGCACAATTTGGGGTGTGGACCACAGCATTTACTTACCAAAAGCATCCCCAAATATGTGCCCTGGCTCCAACAGGGCTTTAACATGCAGGCTGATACGTGGGAAACCACAACAGCCAATTTCAAATAGTTACCAACGCCACTTCCTGTGTAGTCAGTGCGCACATTATGACAGGCAATCACACCCAGTTATAATGATGCTTGGGATATTTTGGACCTCCAACTACCATTTATAACACAGCAGTTTTACTGCAGTACAATTTAAGAATTAAGAACTAAATACAGTGGAGCCCTGTTCAAACCCAGTGGTTAGGATCGAATAAATCCCTCGGTGTGATCCAACAAAAATACAATACAGTTTACATTTATGTAACACCTTTTACATCAGCAGGACGTCCCAAGCTGCTTAACATTTCTGGCTGGGTACTTGAGCTGGGGGTGGGAGCCTACAGGGGTTGGGGAGGAGAAAGGTGTCTGAAGGCACGGTCAAAGAGATAGGTCTTGAGGTCGTTGACGTTAAAAGAAGTGAGGGAGGGAGCAGGTTGGAGAAACTCTAGGATGGAGTAGGTAGAGTGGGGAAAGGAAGTAGGCCAGTGCCCACTGAGCAAAGAGAGTGACCTGGACAGTACAGTTTGAGGATGTAAAAGAGGTAGGGTTAGGGAATGGCATGCAAGGATTTAAAGGTGAGGATGACGAGCGATTGGTGGTTTCACCGCATGGGCATGAGGCCGGCTAACTTCATCCCTCTGCCCACTGTACTGTGAAAATCGCCTGCAGAGAGTAACATTGGTGATCCAGAAGTTGGTTATTTTACTGCAAAAAACAATTGTTACGTGGCAAGCAAGAGTGTCAGCTGTTTGCATCAGAGTGAACGGAATCTACACTGCAACCACATTATATCCATATTCATATTGTACAGAAATGTGAATTGATAGTGCTATGCGTTGGTAATATCTGGGAACATTCCCAATCAGTTTGCTGATGATGTTAACCTATCATTACGGTGTAGCAATCAATCACAGCATTGGCCTGTTCATCTGAGGGCTTCCTTTTCTCGTCCCACAAGAAAAGAATCTATTGCGTGCTAAAAGAAACTATCAAAGAAAACTTGAAGGACAACACATTAAACGACTTGCTTCACAGCGGTATTGAGGTGTTACTACTGAGGAAGCATAGTTCCATGGTGCACTGTCAGCTGAACACTCTCCTTTTGATTGATGGGAGTATTCCCATACTTTTCTGCATGCCGAAAAAGCTGTAAATAGTCTTACTCCAAGCGTACTGCGAGCTGCCTGGTATGCTAATGAATCATTTTTGCTTCAGTGCTTTGGGTTGTTATCAAGCAAAGACCTGTGTAGTTCATTTGTTTAGCTGGGCATAAGGCCAATCTAACAGGTAAATTGGGCCAAATTTGCTAAATAGGCTCATACATCTCCCTTATTTATTACACAATGTCATTCAGAGATGCTGTACTGAAAAGGCATTACATTTATCATGTTTGCTTTAGCTTTTAAGGGTTTGAAAAAAGAAGTTGTTTAAACTTGAGCAAAATGTGTGTTAATGCAGCTGTCTTTATTTTAAAGAGAATTTTATACATGAATTAGTGGAGTTACCATGGTGCTGGCAGTGACGGGCACTGGAGATTAGGACTGTCTTAATGCAGATTGGACTGTGTGTGACCTGAGTTGTTGATGGGGAGGGTGGATGGAATGAGTATGCCAATTTAATGCCTTTTCTGTGACTGGCTGGCTCAGAGAGATGGACTCTATAAGCAATTCCTGGCAATTGAATTGTTTGTGCACACAGCCAGTCGCAATGATGTAACGCTGGTAATATCAGTGCAATGTTATGCCAGACATGCCTTTCAGAATCCAAAAGATCACACTGATGACATCACCTTGTTGAGCTGAAATATGATATTAATTATTCTCCCTCGTCTCTTGGCTAGACTATTTTCCTCTCTTGGTCAGCTAGTTCCAAACTGATTGGAGTGGCTGCCGGCTGAACATTTGTTTATCCTCTCTGGACTGAACCGTCTGTAAACTGGGCCATTATAATATTGGCTGTTTGAAGCCTGTGACTAGTTTGGTTTTACATTTTTAGAAGCTGACCTTTCTTCCTTCAAATATCCAGATGTTTGTATAATATTACAGCGATCATCACCTTTTTAACTGTAGCTTGACTGAGACAGTAAAAATTGAACTAGATACAACAGTTTATGGACACTGAATTTCTAAGCCCTTCAACACATAGTAACTCTGTAAGACACAGAGCTACAGTTACTTTGGTGACTTTGAGGAGTGTGGTCTCTGGAATTTACAGATTTTCTTGTTCATTAAGTTATGAGATGTTTGTGCTGGAGAATCGCACCTCTTTATTTCAAAAACCCAATTTCTTTACCATCCATTTAGGTCTGGTTAATGCAGAGTAGAACTTCCTCTAACTCTTCCGGAAATTCAAAAGAGCTTGTCTTCTCCTGACTTCTACTTCCTCGCTCCCCACACCATAGAATTATACAGCACAGAAGGAGGCCATTCGGCCCATCGTATCTGTGCTAGCTCTTTGAAAAGAGCTATTCAATTCAATCTCACTCCCCCGCTCTCTCCCCATAGCCCTGCAAACTTATAGAATCATTGAACCACTATGCATTTTCTATGATAGCTCTGCCTCTCATTGGTGTTCTCTGCATTACTCGCCTTGAGAGCAGCAAGGGGGAACACGTATACTGGATGAGGGCCAAGATTTGGAAGAGACAAGCTTGTGTTAAAACTACTTCATATCTTGAACTCGTAGTCGAGGCTGACACTCCAATGCGGTATTGGCAAAGCACTACTCTTTCGAATTGTGGTGTTAAACTAAGCTCACATTTGGCTGTTCAGGTGGAAGTTAAGGAACCTGTGACACTACTTGAAAACAAAAGGGTGTTTCTTTTAGTGCCCTGGCCAGCATTGCTCCAGTTTAATAGATCATTTACCCCATGGTTGTTTTGGGGCTCTTTGTGGAGCAAACTGCTGCTGCTTTTGCCTACAAAATAGTCACTACACTTGAGAGCAATTCCTGGAAGTGCTTTGAGACGTATTGAGGTGATAACATGCTATAAAAATGCAAATTCTTCCTTACCTCAAGTGCTCCAGTAGCTGCCAGTACTATTCTTGGAACCTGGGCAAGCCACGAGTGTTGAGCCTTGGTAATAAGACCACCTCAGAAATCAGACTGAAGGCTTGGCCTACAATGTGTTTCTCTCAGTTGTAGTTTTTGTGCTCCTCTTAACACAACAGAGAAATGCTCAGCTCCTGTGGAATGTATATATTGTGTGCATAAAATAGGAGCTGCTGTGGAGTGACTTTAAAGTTGTATTTCAGCCTCCACCTCCTGCTGATATTCTTAAACTGCTTGAACTGTGCTCTTGTGGCTTGTGATGTGATTGGAGCTTCTGGATTGAATCGCAGCCTTGTTCACCCCCTCCACACTGTGCCCTTCTTTTGGAGTTCCCACAGCTTTGGTAAAGCTACTTTACAAATGTTGGCAGTGCATCAGAGCTGGCTTAGAAACTGTAAACTGGTACTTAAAGGGGATAGCGTGTTTGGGGGGGGAGGAGTTGATGAAAAAAGGAGGGAAGAGCTTTGTTTGGTTCAAACTTAGTGGAAATTAAAAAAAAGAACAGCTTTAAAATGCGTACAGTGGGACAGCACATCAAAAGTACAAATGCCCAGTTACATTTCCCACCTTTTTGCTGTGGAAGTGCTGCCCTGTTCCTCCTGGTAGCCAACTGGAAGAGCAATAGTGGACATTTGTGTAGGAATATACTCTGCCTCGGAGCAGATAGCTCATGAACTGGGAAGAAATTATACATGGGGTTGTGCTTGCTTTACCCTTGCCAATGCCAAGATTCCACTACAATAATATGATAAACAGAATTCTACACAGTACTTCAGTTAAAAATAATAATTCTTGCATTTGATGTAGTCTTTTATCACCTCAAGGCTGGACTATGGGAACTCTCTCTTCGCCGGCCTCCCCGGCACCTCCCTCCACAAGCTGTAGGTCATTCAGAACTCTGCAGCTCGTGTACTGTCCCGCACCAGGCTTCGGGACCACATCACTCCCACCCTCGCTCGCCTCCACTGGCTCCCCATCCCCCAGAGGATCGAATTCAAGATCCTCATCCTCATACATGGCCTTGCTCCCTCTTACCTCTCCCACCTACTATCCCCCTACTTACCTGCCCGTACCCTCCGTTCCTCTGGCTCCGGTCTGCTCCACATCCCCCGCCCCAACCGCCCTACCATCGGTGGCCGGGCCTTCAGCCTCTCAGCCCCCAGGCTCTGGAACTCCATACTCCGGTGCCTTCACCTTGCTTCCTCCCTTTCCTCCTTCAAGGCCGGTCTCAAGACCTTTCTCTTTGACCGTGCCTTCAGCTCCCCTCTCGACTCTCTACCCCCTCCTCGCTCCCTCCCTTCCCTCCCCTCACCCTGACCATTTCCCCCCTGCTCGGGTCCTGACCTAACTGTCCAGTGCCTTGGGACGTCCTCCCGATGTGAAAGGCGCTCTATAAATGAAATCTTGTTGTTGTTGTAGTGCCTTATCACATCATTGAGACACCTCAAAGTGCTTCACAAAATATATTGTAAAATGGGTTGACTGTATTTTGTGGGTGAAATGCGGCAGCCAATTCTGCATAGGCGTGTCCCTCAAACAGTCATGGATCGAGTGACCATTATTTTTTTTGGAGAGATTAATATCCCTGAAAGTGATCAA